CATGGCCATGCCATCATCGAGGCCGCCGGCGGGCATCGCCGCATGATCGTCCAATTGAATAATGGTGGGCTCAGCAGACGAAGAGGCCGAGGGGGCGGTCGACGATCCTACAAAATCTGAGCTGCCCGTGTGGGTCTGTTGATCCAGATTCCACTGCCCCGAGCCATCCGTCTCGGCGGTGGTCGCCGCGGGTTGCGAAGCCAAAGGAGCGCCTTTGCGTAGCATCTCTTCTCTTCTCTTTTCTTCTTCTTCAATCCTGTGTGGCACAAGAGCTGCGTTGTCGCACACTTGCGTTTTTTTCTTTTGCTTTTCTTCTTCACTTTTTTATTTTCCTTTCTTCTTCCCCACATTCTTTACAGTACGTTTAGTGAGGTTGCAGCCTTGCCTTGATCAGGTACCTGCTCAGGTAATACCAGAACAAGCTGTTGCACGCTCACCATCACCATCATTCTGAAGCTGTGTTGCCACAAAGTGGAGTGCCATCACAAACCAAAAACAAGCCCAGTTTGCACCAACAGCAATTTTTCCGCCAAGCAAAAGCGGGATATATCCTCGTCGGAGAGCAAGGTGGTGGAGAAAATCGACCGCGACGATCGCAAGAGAAGGCGGACTTCTACTTCCAGAGGAGAGGTGCTAGATAGAACAGGAGAAGTTTGGGCTGGGCAAGAAAGGAGAGCACACATGTACGTCAATTCCTGTCCCCATTTCGCCCCAATTTCATTTCAAGCACGACTGCATTGTGTTACATTCATTCATGTGCCTTCACTTCCCTTGCGGTTCGAAGTTGCGCTTGCGTTGAGGGGGGAGGGGCTTTAATTTGTTGTCATTCCTGTTCTCGTAATTTGCTTTCTTGGATTCGACTTATTATCTAAGTTGCTTCCTCTCTGGCCGTCGATCGCGCAGAGATCTCTTAAGAAGATGCTGCAGCCGCAGAATCCCTGGGAGACAGGAGAGCTGGCAGGCCTGATGGGCCTCGCCAAGGACGAGGGCGAGGTGGTCAGTACCTGGTCCGTAGGAGTGGGCTTCGACCACCAAATGGCTCCCGTCCTGCGCGGCAAGGTACCCTTTTACACCCATCTCCTGCGACACACACACAACACACACACGACACACGACACACGACACACGACACACGACACACGACACACGACACACGACACACGACACACGACACACGACACACGAGCTGTGCCTCACGCACGAGCGCACACGCACGTACCACTCAGGTGGAGCCACGGCGCTACCGGAAGACGATAACCGAGTTGAATCGCATAACGCGAAAGGAGAACGTGTACAACTACGTCTTCACGCTGCTGCTGCTCATCTTTGTCGTGCTCCCCATCGGCTACTACTTCTTCTTTGCCGACATCATG